ATTTATGAAGGAATTCATCCCTATCGTTATATTGTTTTTTTTTCTTTTCTCCGTTAAAGTTCAGAAATTTTGTCATTCAAGACTGAAGTTAACAAGCGTGGGTAGGAACTGGCAAGTACATTAAAAATTAGAATATTTGATCATAAATCTAAAAATAAGCTTTTTGTAGTAGGTTTGTGAAATTTTGATTTTTATTATTTGCAATTTATTTAGGTAGAAAATAAATTAAATTAGATGTTTGCGAAGATCTATAAGACAGTTGGGAAGACATATTTACATAACTTGCTCCATATAACTATAGGAATGAACGACAGGATAACCAAAAGCTTGTTTTTTTAAGAAAGAATGGGGTAGTCATGCATATTTCATCGAATATGTGTAAGAAAAACAATTACTAGGTATTCTCTGTGACGATCCGTTATGAGGGAAGAGGAAACAAAAAAACTGAAAAAGAGGAATTAAAGAGTCGTAAAACCGAACAGGGAGGGAGAGGAAATGAACTGAAGGGAGAGGAGGCGAAGGTGTCAGAAGCCGAAGGGTAAGTTCGTCCTTTAAATTATCAGAGGCAGAAATTTACGAGGGAGTCGAACGACAAGTAAGAGAGGCGATAGACACAAATTAGGGAGTCCCTGTAGCCGGAGATAGCGACGTCATCGGGCGGCAAGGTTTTTGTTGAGCAGGAAGGAGAAATAGGGAGGCAACAGTGGTGAGTGTTTGCCTTGTTGCGTGAAGTTGCGACCCATGGCGGAGGAAGGAAGACGACATGCGAGCTGTTTTCCGTGTGCAATGGAAGAAAAAAGCTTTCCCTTGCACTAACGCGTGCTCTGCTGCCATACAAAGGAGGAAGGAGGCATCGACGTCTCATGCGAGAGGCCGAACGCAGAGGAGGAGGGAATGAATCGCGTCTGCACGTGTATAAGGCTTGGCCGAAAGAAATTTTTTAGGTTGAGTTTAATAATTATAATATTTAATAAGAATTCTATTAATATATATTATTCATATGTATATTTATATAATGTATACATGTACACACTCACACATATATAACAAGGGTTACATAAAATAAATATGAAAAGTTAAGAGTTTATTAAAATAATAAAATAATTAAGTTTTATACAATTTTTATTTTAGGTTTTCAAATTACAAGAATTGATGTCAAGAAATATAACAAATTAATCGACATCGATGTTAGTACTTGTACTTTTAATATATAATAATAATTTGTTTATTCTAAAATATTTTGCAGTTAGTGATACTTGCGCACGTTTTATTCTGATTGATATATTATTTTCTTTATCAATCATATTGTTATGAATGTTTGTAGCTATTTAATCTTATGCATTATATGTATGATTTATATAGTATGTTGAATTGAATGCGATAAATACATGAGTGATATATTTGTGTTGATTGTTTGTATGTTCATGATTGACTATGATGGAGTCACCCTTTGATGATACTAGTGAGAGAACACTAAAGTACCCACGTACGTCCATAAAAAATAAATTGATATTAATGTGTCTTAATTGACATAATTTTAGATGATGCTCTTGTTTTGGTGTACAAATATAATATAATAATGATATGTTATTGATATAGTAAGGTTCTTGAATGATATCAAATATTTTATTGATTTATTACAAAATTGACTGACATGTATTTTGTTTTCTTTTCTTTTGTATTACATTGATTTGTGAGTATGAGTATTCAATGACCTGTTTAGCTTATTTTTATTTTAAATTAACTTTTCAGATTAATTTAATTGATTAAAAGATGAGTGATATAAGAAAAAACAGTTATATAAGATGCAAATAACCAATAACGATGTAAATTTAAATATATTGCTTTAATTTAAATTGATTAGTGACTCTTTCATTTGTTAAAAATTATTTATAGATAATGAATATAAAAAAAATTAATTTTCATCATCTTAGTGTCTATTCTCATCTTGATTAATTCCAAGCAATGGGTCGGGTTTTGAGAAAAATGATATCATAGCACAAGATTTATGATTAATTAATGAAATCTAAATGAAAGAGCCAACATGATAATTATTAATTTTTTTTTTAATAATTATAAAAATTAAAGTTAACTTAAAATAATAATATTTTATATTTATACATAGTGTTACACGAATGTCTTCACCAAAATGATGGCGACAATGACTTAGTTGATTCATGAGTCCAGAACGCAGTCTATCGGAAGTGATACTATCAGTGTAGATAAGTAGTTGAAGATATAGTATGTCTACCTTTACTCAACGGAACTGAAGGCCCAATTGAAGCGGAGATCTGGTTAATGAAGATAGAGAAGTTGCTGCATAACATGACTTGTCTGGATGAAAGAAGAGTACTATTGACGACGTTTGTACTGGATGGAGAAGCTGAAAGGTGGTGGCGCGGGCAGCGTCAGGATAGGTTAGGAGACATACCCAACACCATGGTTAGTTGGGAAGAATTCTTTGAACTATTCAGAGATTGGTTTGTGCCCCTATTCACTTGATGAAAAATGAATCGATTACAGATAAATAAAAACCTCATCAAGTTAAGGCAAAAAGAGGAGACAAACATGCAGTACGAAGAAGAATTCACTGCTTTGTAGATGAATACACCACAATTGATCGCTATTGCAGAGGAAAAAAAGTTCTACAGGCTTCTTTCAGGATTAAATGACTCGATCAGACAGCCGTTGGTGCCTTTAAGGATCAATGAATATTTGGTGTTAGTGAAACGAGCTAGAAGAGTTAGGATTGACTATCAACTTACTCAGAAACGTAAGGAGATACACAAGAGGAAGAATGTTGAAGAAAAAGGACATGCGGTCAAACAAAGGGATCAAATAAAAAGAAGTTCAAGAAAAATTTGAGTGGAGTTAGCAAAGATACGACTCAGAGTACACTAGTCATTTATGTCAAATGTGGAAGACAAAGGTGAATGGTTGATGAGCTCTAATATTTGCTAATTGTGCCATCAGTCTGGTCATATAACAATATATTGTCCATCTCTTGGCCAGAAGAGTGTTGAAGATCAGAAATCAGATGAAGCACCTTCAGGGAACATTGCAGGTGGGCAAAAAAGATCGAATCTAAAGCTTCAACTCCTACCCAAGGTCAACCAAGGCAATCGGTTCGACCTTGAGTATATTCTCTTACTTATAGTAAGTTTGAAGAACCTATTATCACGGATGGTGATGAGGTCTAAGAAGTTTGGCATTTTTTTATATAGACTATTTTTTCTAGTGTACTTCCTTGCTTCAGTAACTGTGTATTGTTATCTGAAGTATAGTTGAGTTGGCTTGTATCGAGCCTTTACTTTTATAGTGATTAGTAATCATAAATGATCTTAGTTTTATAGAAAGCTAATGTTGACTTACTTGATGTCTGTTTATAAATTTTGAGGAAGAAATTTTTTGAAGTGAGAAAGATTGCGACGACCTGATACCAGAGAAGAGAAAATGAGGAAATCGAAGAAGAATAATTGAGGAGTCGTGAAATCTAACGGGGAGGGAGAGGAAATGAACCGAAGGAAGAGGAAGTGAAGGGGGTCGAAAGTTGAAGGGTAAGTTCGACCTATAAATTATCAGAGGCAGAAACTTACTAGGGAGTCAAATGACATGTACGAAAGATTAGGGTAACATGTATGAAAAAAAATTAGGGTGAGTTTATTAATTATAATATTCAATAAGAATTCTATTAATATATAATTACTTTTTGTATATATATATATATATATAGTTTATTAAAATAATAAATTAATTGAATTATATACCATAATTATTATAGGCTTTTAAATTTAGAAAAATTGATGTCAAAACAAATGACAAAGTAATCAACATCGAGGTGAATATTTGTACTTTTAATTTATAGTAATAATTTTTTTTTTTTCAAATATTTTGCAGTCAATGATATTTGCACATGCTTTATTCTGATTGAGATATTTTTTTTATCGGCTATATTGTTATGAATGTTTGTAGCTACTTATTCTCATGCATTTAGTGTATGTTTTGTATAGTATGTTGAATTAAATACGATTAATGCATGAATAATATGTGTATATTGACTGTTTGTATGTATATAATTGATTATGATGTAGTCACCTCTTTGTACTAGGGTGAATACTAAGGTCTCTGTGCACATATATGGAAAAGAATATTGATATTGATGTGTCTTAATTGACATAATTTTTTGACAGAGCTCTTGTGACTGTTGTACTAATATAATATGATATTAATATGGTATTGATATAGTAAGGTTCTTTGAATAATATTAAATGTTTTTATGATTTATTAAAAAATTGACTGACTTGTATATTTCTTTATTTTCTCTTGTATTATTGTGGTTTCTGAGTATAAATACTCATTGGTTTATTTAGCTTACTATTATTTTAAATTAACATTTTAGATTAATTATTAAATTAAAAGATGATTGACAGAAGAGAAAACATTTTTATAAGATGCGGAGAACTAGTAACTAAGGTAATTTTAAATATGTTGCTTTGATTTAAATTGATTAGCGCTCTTTCATTTGTAAAATGTTATTTTTAGAGGATGAATATCGAAAATTTAATTTCTACTGTCGGGCCATCTGTTCTCGTTCTAGTTAATTCGACACTCCGAGCTAGCTCATGACATTGACCATGATTAGGTTTTTTTCTTATGCAAAATTCACTGATTTGTTCATTACTTGTGGTTAATTGTCGGGGAATTTACATATATACCACCTAATTCTTATATATTTACATATCTACTACCTAAATTTCACTTTTTTATGTTTATGCCATCCAAATCTTTATGATCACATAAAATGCCACCATTTTAACTTTTAAAAAGTGAAATACACCTTTTTATGAAAGGTGGTATGTGGGTAGATATGTAAATACGTAGAGTTGAGTGGCATATATGTAAATCTACCTTGATTGTGTTATGCTCCTTTTATGCATTTCTAGTTTCCTGCTAGTATCTTCCAATTATAAAAAAAATACGAACTTTAATAATGATGGCAGGTATGGCCGCATCGGGATATACAAGTCATTCATGTTTGGAAGCCCAACAATTTTGGTTACTATACCTGAAACCTGCAAACAAGTATTGATGGATAATGAGAACTTTGTAACAGGATGGCCTAAGGCTGCTGTTGAACTTATTGGAAAGAAATCATTCATCAAACTACCTCACGAAGAACACAAGCGGCTGAGAAAACTAACTTCAGCTCCTATAAATGGTTATGAAGCACTTTCCACCTACCTGAAATTCATTGAAGAATCTGTTGTATCTGCGCTGGAGAAGTGGGCAGAGATAGAACAAGTAGAGTTCCTTACGGAGGTTCGGAGGCTTACATTCAGGATTATAATGCACATTTTTCTTAGCACGGAGGGTGACACTGTGATCGAATCTTTAGAAAGAGTTTACACTGATCTCAACTATGGTATGAGAGCGATGGCAATCAACTTTCCTGGATTTGCATACCACAGGGCCCTAAAGGTGAATTTACCGTAAATGTTTTAATTCAGCTTTAAAGTTAAAGATCTCTTAAATATCTATGATTTCTTTCTTTCTTTTGTTAAGCTTTTCCTTTAATCTGGTCATTTTTTTGGCGAGTGAAGTGTCAAAATAGTCCCGACTTTTACATGGGCCATTTTGGTCCCCATAATCTCTAAGTGTCAAATTAGTTTCAAGATTCTTTTAACATGAGCTGAAATAGTCCCCAGTTAAGCGAGTATGAGGACTATTTCAACCACCATCAAAAGAGCCTTGAGGACTAAATTGACATTTTCTTAGACTTATTAAAATGCACCCCCTTACAAAGAGCAAGGAGACCATTTTCACTCTTATCCTTTTTATTTTATTGTTGCTTATCCTCTGAAGCCATCTTAAAATATTGGAGCCTGCCAGATATTTCACAAATAATGGTAATTACCTTTATTGTGAAGGGTATGGATGATAAGTTCCATCACTTCGATAAGAAGCAATAAATTGTTTAATTCTCACTGTTTCTAAGTTCAATATGTACTGAATGTGCTGAGATTCATGAATTTCTCTGTTTATTTGTTATTTTTTATTTACAAAGCTTCTATTTTTTTTGCTTCATTTAGCTCATCAATCTATGGCATTGTTCTTTACTTTGTGTAACTTCATCAAGCTCACTATGTCATTGGTTTTTATTCTCTTTCATATTTATTATGAATTATTGCATTTTCTTTATGGTTTTTCTTGTTTTAAGAAAGTAGGAGGAATAATTAAAAAAATTGCTATGAGACGATGTACAAATAAGTAGAAGACTTTATTGATTTATTCTCTGCAAATTCTAAAGTGCACGCGGAGTTATAGAAAAGAAGGGAGGGTGATCAATCTTTTCCCCATGGGCAACAATAAATACTTTCTTAAAATAGTGGTATATTTGATGTGATATGAAAGATTTACTTGGTATAAATGTAAAAAACAAACTTTAGGTGTTAGATATGTAAATATATAAGAATTGGGCGGTATGTATGTAAATGCCTCTTATATTTGTCTATGGGACTTGAAAGGAAGATAATTTTTTATCTCCATGAATAGTCACCCATATAAATCAACTCTATCATTCTCCCCTAATATATGGTGATGTATGATGAGTATCTACAGTTAGCAATATCACTCTCACAGGATGGTTCATTACATTCATCAATGGTCACTCTAAAGTCATCTGTTTATTCTTCTTGAAAGATTAATTAGAACCATTTTTCTAAATTTTAATTAGATGGTAGAAAGTCAGTTCAAAGTTAAAATCTAAATACCCCATGCTTACAATAGGTTTGGGTCCTCTTACTCTACCCTTGGGTCCTACATGTTGGATCAGGAGATTGTCCATTAGTACTAGACACTTCATAATAAAATGGAGTGTTGAAAGAAAATAGATATTTGATGCAAGTAACTCAATCACCATGCTTTTTAAACATATTCCAAAATATATCTTAGAGATTGTATGCTAACTACAATTGCTTTCATTAATGGTGTGCTCTTTCAAATTATAAATTTTTAAGTTGTCAATGTATCTTTCAAATATGTTCTTAATGCCAAAATCATTTCATCAATTCCAATCAGAATTATTATGTGCAGCTCCTTTTGTCCACATACATCCTCAACGTCGCAGAAAACTTAAAGCTAGACCACTTGAATGTAAACTTCCTTGGATATCCACCAAACCAAAAGGGTCTAAGAGTATATTCTCTAACAAAAATGTAACATTTTTTTGTTAAATCAACCTTTCTATTCCGAAGTTGATATTTATTGAGATAATTCTAGGGAATACCGTCTGGCAAATTCACTCTAAACTCAATAACCATCCTTCGAATTCAACACAATGTCATCACTCCAGAATTATTTTTATACTCTAGAAGGTCGAAAATAAAGATAAAGGTATAAGCACCTTTTGCTTAGAGTTATAGAACCATGATTTTGAACAAAATTTGCGACATCTGAACTCCACATCAATGAAAAAACTAATGAACCAACTTTATGTGACCTTGATCAACCTATTGCTTCTAGAATAGGCATTAAATTATGTACAAAGTACCGTATTAATAACTCTGTGCCGTGAAAAGTAAGCTCCTACTCATCTTGCCATTTTTACATCTTAATAGAGGTTCGAATTTTAAACAGCATTTAGGAAGCTCTTGGACAACCTAAGAAAAGTGTGCTGTAATGGAAGAAATTGAAGCCTTTAAAAGAAGTGGCATTTGGGAAATTGCTAAACTTTAGGAAAGAAAGTGATCAATCATGTATATGGATTCTTTCCATTAAACGTAACACTAATGGAAGTTTAAATAAATTGAAAGCTCGATTGGTGGTCGAGAGTTTCACCCAATCATATACAATAGACTATAAGTAGATATTTGCAACGGTTGCTAAGCTTAACTTCGTTCATGTACTTCTGTACCTTGCAGATTCTTAGGCTGATTTAATATTTAAAATGCTTTTGAATGGTGATTTTGAGGAAAAGGACTACATGATTGTATCTCCAAGGCTTAAGAGTCATGAAAATGTTTGCGAAAATTGCAAGCTTATAAAAATATTATATGATTTGTAATTACTGCATGCATGATTTGATTGACTATCAATTGTGGTTGAGGTGCACAATTCTCTAAATAATAAAATTGTCATTCTATATTTGTAAAGCATATGTCAATCGCAGGATTAACATGTTGGTTGTTTATGTTGATTTTATTTTTACTGAAAATAATGAGGGAGAAATAACCAACTTAAAGCATTTTCTGACAAAAGAAATTAAGATTAAAGATTTAGGACTACTTTGGTATTCTCCTGGCTTGAAAATTGTTAAATCAAGGGCTGAATCTTTGAATCTCAACAAACTATATTAATGATTTCTTTAAATAAATTGGATTAACTGGACATAAACTAATAGAAAGAATTTTGTACCCAATATTAAGATGGGGACTTTGGGTTGAAGTCCTATTGCCACTGGGAGGTTGACGCCGGGTGTCTGAATGGTGCCCGGATACGGGTGCGGAACAACACCATGAAGAAGGGTGCTCGAAACTGTAGGGCTGAAACCCCATGAAACCTCGCGAAGCTGCGCGAGGTCTCGCGAACCCGCGAAGACTGTAGAACCCACGACAGGGAGAAATCATGAATTTTCGCGATCCAACCAGGCTATTCGTACTAGATCTTTTATGGAAAGTAATTTATGGATTCTTCTTGGCTTTCCACCTATTTCTTTTGTGTAGAAGTTTCCCTTAAGCCTATAAATAGTTGTCTTTGTTTATGTGGGAGCCAGATTTGAGTTGTGTTTGAACTTAGTTTCAGATTCTTGTGTGGAGTTCATTTTCCTTTTGTGGCGCTCTATCCAAGGAAGAGGTGGTGCTCTGGCTGTATGCTCTCCAATTTGATGGTTGTATCCCCCCTTTCTACCATTTCCAGACCTTCTCCTCTCCACACCTCTACTGTCGAGCTCACCCACCGTCATCCCAACATCCCATTGTTTCCCCTTCTTGTAAATCATTACTATTTCCCCGCCTACCTAACTTTTTTCAAACCCCTCCCAACTACTAGATTACCACTACCGACCACCTACAACCCTCCAATTGTTAATTCTATAGTTCCGCACCTTCCCTTCGCTACCAACCATTTTCCGTGACTACTGACATCCCTCCTAATCATTCCCATTCTTCTAGCAAACCTCCATCAACCATTGTGTTACATTTAGGGGTGTTGTTTGTGTCATCTTATGTTTTATATTGTTATTTCTGTTTGAGTTATGTTGCAATCTTTTCTTAATATTAATGAAAGATTACTTTTTGAGTTTTCACTATTTTCTCTAGTTGTTCTAGTATCATTTGATGTCAGAGCTAGTTCAACCTAGTCCTATCCTAGGGTTCGCCAACACGCGCCCCTACCAGATTCACCTCCATTAACTTCTTTTTCCTTTCAATTCCCAACTTGAGTCATGCCACCACAAAGAGATACATCAGGCTCTACTCAGAAAGAGATCCAACGTGAAATTCATCGTTTGCAACAGAGAATAGCCGAGTTAGATGATGAGAATAAAGAAGAGATTACTTTCAACTGTGATCGAGAGAGTTGTAGGGCAGACAAAGACGAGAATCTTAATTCTTTCCATAGGGAAGATCACAACGACGAAGAATATCGACAATGTCATTTTGGTATCCAATATCAAAGGAAACCGAGAGAAGATGCTTCTTATGGAGGTCCGCAGGATTTTGACATCAAGATGGACTTTTCAGAGTTCGAGGGAGGTATAGATCAGTTTATTGATTGGCTGCAATTAGCTAAACGAATTTTTGAATATAAAGATGTGTAAGAAGACAAACGGGTCAAGCTAGCCGCCATTAAGCTAAAGAAAAACACTTTCTTATGGTGGGAAAATGTGCAGAGGCAAAGAAAAAAAGAAGATAATGAAAATATCACGAGGTGAGAAAAGATGAAGAAGGTAATGCAAAAAAAGTACCTCCCACCCTAATATCGTCAGGATATGTTCCTAAAACTCCACAAAGTACAGTAGATGAATCTTTCAGTTGAAGAGTTTACTGCCCAATTTGACCACTTGTAGATGAAATGCGAGCTGACGGAATCAGAGGAACATGCAATAGCCAGATATCGTGGGGGTCTGAAACTCGCCATCAACAATGTGGTACAGTTGCAGCCATACTGAACACTAGGGGATGTTCAGACATTAGCCTTGAAGGTGGAAACACAACAAAAACAGAGCCGACAACAATCATCTTTCAAGCAGCAACCTTTAAGTAGGTTGTCACCTAGAAGTACAACAACCGACAGGGATATCTTGGGAGACAGGTTAGCTTAGACAAGGAAATGACACTACAGATCAAAGGGGGAAGAAACAGGAGAAGGGCAACTTCTCTAACACGGTGGCGACTAGGAAGTGCTACTGATGCCACAACTACGATCACATTGCCTCCAGCTGCCTTACGAACAAGATATTCACACTCACAGATCAAGGCGCC